TAGGAAGCCGTAAAGTTGCTGTCCAAAGTTCCTAGCTATTGTTCGGGTACGTAGGAAGCCACACAGGTGCTGTTCACTATTGCCCGGGTTCGTAGGAAGCCACATAGGTGCTGTCCACTATGGTTTGGGTTCGTAGAAAGCCACCCAACTGTTGTCCACTATCAATTGGGTTCGTAGAAAGCCACATAGGTGCTATCCACTATGGTTTGGGTTTGTAGGAAGCCATATAGTTGTTGTCCACTATCGTTTGGGTTCGTAGGAAGCCACATAGGTGATGTTCACTATGGTTTGGGTTCTAGAAAGCCGCCCAAGTGCTGTCCACTATTGTTTGGGTTCGTAAGAAGCCGCATAGGTGTTGTCCACTATCGTTTGGGTTCGTAGGAAGCCACATAAGTGTTGTCCACTATGGTTTGGGTTCATAGTAAGCCACATAGGTGTTGTCCACTATCATTTGGGTTCGTACGAAGCCACATAGGTGATGTCCACTATTGTTTGGGTTCGTAGGAGCTGTCCACTATGGTTTGAGTTTGTAGGAAACCGCCCAAGTGCTGTCCATTATCGTTTGGGTTCGTAGGAAGCCGCATAGGTGTTGTCTACTATGGTTTGGGTTCGTCGAAAGCCACATAGGTGTTGTCCACTATCGTTTGGGTTCATCGGAAGCCACATAGGTGCTGTCAACTATCGTTTGGGTTCGTAGGAAGCCACATAGGTGTTGTCCATTGTTGTCTAGGTTCTTAGGAAGCCATACAAGTGTTATTCGAAATTCCTAACTGTTGTCCGGAGTTGTAGGATCACCGTACACACTTGCTAGTTGATGCTCAGAGCCATAGGAGGTCATAGGATCCCTGTATTAGCTTGCTAGTTGCAGTCTGGAGTTGTAGGAAACCGTGAGATCACAAGTTTGGACTTCCTAGCTATTATTACGATTTGTTTTGTTGCTTCCTGTTTTTTTTTTCTACAATTTATTTAAATTTACTACAAATTATATTATGTAATTATATTATGTTTTGTGAGCTAAACATGCAAACTAAACATGCAACAGGGATAGCAGCAGCAGATACGTCACGTACACAGATACATTTTATTTGTTGTTTTATCATTGAAATTTACTCTGGCTCTAACATATCATGCAGGCACTGATTGTAATTTTATTTTCAAAACAAAACGATTTAAGAAAAAACAACAAAAACATAACACGTACTTTTGAGCTTATGGAGTCCCTCAGAGGTGGTAACCCACGGTTGCTAACGAGATCTCTCCGGTTTAAATGATTTTCACAACTCGTTTGAGCTAAATAAGTTCAAAAGAAAATCGTGGTACCGAAACGAGGGAACCGTTGGATCATAACCGGTGTTGAGCTAATCAAATTTAACCCCTATAATGACAACAAAACCAAAACTTGAAACACACATGGTACAACCTTTTGAACCTTAGACTTTAGGACTACTACTTCGACGAGGTGTTTGGAGCAACTTCGTGGGCAGCGCAGCAAGGGGCTTGGAGCGGACCACAGGTGTAGGTGGTCATCATTCTACAACAGCAAAACAAGTCTACACCAGCTAAACTCTCTCTTTGGTCTAAATAACAACTCATACGACTTTGAGGTAGCTTGCCCAACGCAAAGTAAATCCTCATACCTTCTTTAGACTCCTGCACAACCATGTTGTGCAACATAAGTTCTAACTTGTCTTAGGTTCCGAGGTTGTACAGAACGGCGTAAAACCTCTTAGCTCTGCGGGTTATTTACATAACCAGTTATTATGCAAGTGTAAGTCTCAAACAATAAAATTAACTGGATTGAACACTCAAATAACATCCTTTCCAAAACACAACAACACATTAGGATAGTTTGGGAAGTCACTGAGGTTTCTCCTCAGGATCTGTGATGTCTTGTCCACTACCTTTTACTTTCTTTGGACTCTTGAAAATAACTATTCCTATTTGAGTCATTTTCACTTGCCTTTTCACATCCTACTGTGAAAACCTAAACCTCGAATTCTTGAAAACTAGTACATCTGATTAATATTGAGAATTTTCTCAAGTGACTAGTCATTTGGGATGTAATTAACTATAGGGGATTGTCTTTATAGGGAACTTGGAACCAAGGTAAATTAAACCCTATTTAAATCTTTCTATTAAATAGAAAAACTTGTCAGTCACACATAAAATGCTCGCAGACCAAATGAATGTCACAAATCTCTTAGTTTGCAGGATTGAGTTTATGGTCGGGATCTACACTTATCTCTCGGAATGTGAAGTATTCAAGATATCAGACACGATTATGCAAATTATTATATTAATGAGATCCATTCGGTTTCATTTTCTAAAAAATTAAAACACTATTTTCATAATCTAAACTATATACCTTATATCTTATATTTATTTAAATTATATTTTCAAAAATTAATTTTCAAAAATCCATTGAAAAGTTGACTAGCATAATAGAACCTGATCAAGTTTAATTTGTTACTATATTTACACCAAAGAAAAAGATTGAATAAGAAAAAGACGATAGAATCTATCACGCACATAGGTAAAAATATTTCTGTTTCTCAATGATTTTTTTATTTTTATAATCAATGTTTTCAATGCTTTTAGTATTTTTCTTTTAAAATGTAAATTTCATTATTTTCACAATTTTAATTGTTTAAAATAAGGTAAATCGAAAAATTAAATATGATATATGCATGTGGAGTCACCCCCTGGCTGGTGAAGCATCACCCGCGTGTACATAAAATGGAAATGATTGCCTATCCTTTTGGCGGGCTTTGCAAAAAGTTATGAAATGAGTACTTTACTACACATTTAGATGATGACTCCTATTGACAAACATTTTAAATTAAATAAATAAAAATAACAATAAAACTGATTTCTTTATTATCTTCTTTTACTTATTACCAACCTTTTACAACAAAATACATTAAAATATAAATTATTATAATTTAAAGACATTTTACCCACCTAGTCATTTAAATTGTACCTAAAATTGCTAAAATTTTTCAAGCAACCTCATGTAGAGTAAGTGAATCTCAAAGATTATATGTATAGATGTCTAGTAGCCCAAATAGGTAGGAACATCATTCCAATTTTTACTTTTCTTCCCGCTCTAAAATAATAAATCTGAACAAATGTTTATAAATTGAAGTTGCGAAATAGAATGAATTTTATGTTTTAGAGGAAATTCTTTAAGAAATGAAAATGTTTAGATATTACTTTCTCTGTCTAATCGTCTGTTGCTGTCTTAATATTTCAAGCTCCTGGGCCGAATAGTGAAACAAAGACTACGACTTAGATCGTGAGGTGGTTATCTCGTACCCTTTTCTAGCCCCTCCATGCTAACTTGCCATTCAAATTAGTCTTTAAATACTCATATTCAACTATTTCCTCAATGAGGGTGAGCGAGGGAGCTCAACTTTTAGTGTTGGGTCGTAGATGGGAGTGCATCGTGCAGTTTTGCTCTAAAGGAAGAGAAGCGAGGAACAGTGGTGCTAGATAAGGCTTGTAATGCTGCAGAGCTCAGAGAAGGTTGAAGTTTTGGTGAGGATGGTTAATAATGCAGTTCTAACAAATTAATGGTTGAGCAAAACTCATTGGAGATGAAATGTCTTGCCCCTAGGGCTGTGGAGCTATAGAAGACTACACTCAAGCTGCGGCCAAATGCAAAGTCCTTGAGATTTACCGCTGACTTGCTCAATGGGGGATGTGTATACCGATTTTTGAGTCTTTTGATGAAGCTATTGTTAAATTACAAATCTCGTGCTCTAGATTGGCTATTGGCCGAGTCTACTATCATGTAGTCTATCAAAGCTGGCGGGCTCGGAATGCGAAGAAACATAATCAGCCACATGGTAAGCCGGTGATTATGACAGCCTATTTTCTCTCAGCCCTTGCCCAGTTGAACTTCTTTCACATCATGGAGCAATGGGGTACCTTTTGGCCTGTTGGGTTGCTCCGCCCCCCACAACCCCG